CCAGTTGATCCTACCTCATCCTAAGCTATGTCATCTTCAGTGAAGGGAAGATTTGGTACACTTTTTGGGTGTGAACATCTACATTGGGAGGAGCTTTTTGTGTGGATTCTGTATCAGATATATCCCTCCCTGAACTTGGTTTCAGATTTGGTCCAGTTTGGTTACAGGAACGAACCTTGAAAATGCAGTTTTCTAAATTGGGAATAGGATTCTTGGATGGGAGTAATGAAATTTTTGAAATTTCGCCCAACCTTCCTTTAGGGTTCGACCATCCATATGATGGATCTCCCATCCCTTCACAAGTCCGACTTGCACCCACAACCAGCACGGGCCTGAACTCACAGAAGCCAAGGCCAAAGGCGCCCATGGCCTGGACCAATAGCACACACGTGTGTGACAGATGGCAGCACATAGGGCGGACCCAATGAGGGCGCACACAAAGCAGAGGTCGGCACACGGCGTAGGGCCAATAGCGTGACCGCACACGGTGGCCCTGGATGGTTGCGCTCCTCAAGGCCAGACCACATCATTACCATTCGCGCCCACCTACCTCTAGGAGACCTCAAGTATAAGTAGGTGGAAATCCTCTGAAGGTAAACATCTAGACTCTGGATTACTCAGAGCACCCTTATTCCCTTTGTGGCCTCATCTAAGCATCCTAACCTTAATCCTCGTCCACCCTGTGTTGCACCTATACTAACTTAACCGTTAGAGTCTCTGCCCCGGGCAGCCGGGGCCTCCGACATTTTCCCTCTCTTTCTCTTCACATGACTGGCCTACTGGCCCTAGGCCACAATTAACCATGGACTCCTCGGTTCAAAAGCTAATTTACCTTGTTACACTTGGCCCATCCTTATCTGCAACAAATACTGTAGCATATGTATACACTCTCCATTATATGCTATTTAAAGGTGTAGGAAAGTTTCTAAAAATAAGTTGAAAAGAAGTCTTGCAACTCTCCCATGTGGGATTTTGAAGAGAAGAAAGAAAACCCGAGTTTAATTGGGAAAATTATGTAATCGATGAATCAAACCCAACCATTTTTTCATGTTTTAATAGGGAAAACAGGCTTGTCTAGGGCTCTATTACTACTTGCAGCCTTCACATCCATAATTTTGTTTGTTTTCTTGGTCTTTGATGCACTTTTTTTTCATTAGTCATAGAATAACACGTTTGCCGTAACTGTAGTTGTAACACTCTTTGGAACCTTCCAGTGAAACAGGCTGTACACCAATAATGAAAATAATAAAGTAACTAACATGATGTTTTTAATTGATTAATAGGCAAAATCTACGATGAAGAATGTATACCATGAAGCAAAAAAATGAACCATTGATAAAGTGATAAGTGTGAAATATTACAAATAACATTTTTAATGCGATTGATAAATACGTCTTGCAAAACATAAATCAATAAAAATAAATAGACCATATGACATTTTTTTAATATAATCCATCATTTATGATTTATCTTATACTCTTATTTATATTGCATATCACTGGAGCCATGGTGTGTTCGTGTTTCATCAAGGCACAAAGGATTAGGGGTGAACACTATTCCGTTAAAATTAAAGTGAAAATTTTGATTTCAGTTTTTTTAATTTTTTTAAAATTAAAAATTTGGTTAATCAAATTAATTAACTTTCTATTATTATATATTATATAGAAATATATAATAAAATAAAATTTTGATTTAATAATATATAATTTATAATAGAGTATATATTATTAAAATTTGATTTTAACAAAACACCGAACCGAAAATTTTGATTCCAATTTTTTATAATTCGGTTTGAAAAATTTTATTTTATTCAATTCAACTTTTATCCGAATAACAAGGTAGTAATAGTAATGTAGAGTGCAGCAACGGTTGCAGCAAATGTGAACTTGCATTTTCCTTTTGCTCTCTTTGCCTAGATTGTCTCAATTAGGTGGTGGTGGTGGAGGACAGCCAAATGTTCCTTTCAAAATTTCCAACCGCTTCCCATCGAAGATATTGCTTTTAATTGGATGATTTTTGACCATTCAATTATTAAATGAAAACATCATCTAATCCCATTGATCCAAACAGGATTGACATGCAGCTGAACTGGTTGATTGTCTCATTCAAAGGTGGCTCCCTCAATACCCAATCCTCACAGCTGGAATCGGAAAGCTGGTAAGGACTAAGGAGGGCATCCTCATTGAACATCTAATACTACGTACTCTGCCTTATCTATCATAAAAGCTAGCTTTCACTCTTTTCAAAATTGAAGGAATTGTCAAAGTGAGTTCTGTCTTCTTCCTTTTCCCACTAGAATATTAATCTATCACATGTTTGGATTCATTGAAAACTTTAAAGCACGGCTCAAAATATTTATAATTATATATACTCTTGTTTTTTTTYTCACTTTAATAATTCAAACATAAGAAAATTTTATGCTGTTAGAAAGAGAAAAGCTTTGACCAATCAAAATCCTTTGTGAACTTTGATAGATAAATCAAGATGTATAAAACCTATTAAAAGGACCTAAACCTCAGTATTTTATGATTCAATGACATTAATGAAAACAAATATATATCATATGAGATGCTACAATATGTATTGATATTTTTGAACCTAGTTTAGATGTAAGTTGTTTATTTATGTAATGTTAAATTTGGGTGTGGCAATATGGGACATAAATTTAATTATAAGGCTTGGATATTCAATTCCCCTGAACTGAATTGAATATTTGGCTATTTGAATTTTGCTCGATAGTAAAACATGAGGCTCAAGTTTGGGTTCGAGTTCATCTTCTATAGTGAACCAAGCTTCATAAAAAATAAAAAATTATATATTAAAAATACATGGACTTGAGTTCAACTTAATGCTCAGTTTTGACTGAGTCAAATCAAGCTTTTGACAACCCAAATTTGAATAACTGGTAAAAATCTCAAATCTGTGTCCACCCCTATCCTTAACCCACCAACCCTGGTGGCAACGATATTTGATCCCAATCTTTGCTACAATCCAATATTGAAACCTAAATTTCTAATCCTAACCAAATTTGATGTTAATCCAGGGATTATCTGTCTTACAGTAATATTTTACAACAAATCACTCATAATAATGAATCAAATTAACTAGTGTACATTTCTGTTTGTCTGTGGTGCAATACATTTGCACTGTACAAATGGATAAGAGTGCAAACAAAAAAAAAATGTAATTTCTGATTCATTTTTGCTTTGAGTTGAACATTGTTTTATATAGGTTCTACTTCATTTTCACTGAAATCAAACAAAATAAGGTAAAGGTCAAAGAAAAAATAAATCACAATTTTTAAGCTCAATATGGAAAGAAAGGCAAATACAAATATGGTCAATGCAAAACCTTGTATATATAATATTTCTAAACTTTATATTTGCACTGTATATATTTGTATTTGCACTCTTCTTAAGCTGAGCCTTATATCATACTTTTGCTCCAATGCAAATGAATCAAACCTAAAAGATAAAAGCAATTAGCCCAATGTTGGTCCCAGCTATTTAGGATCATGGAGAGGGATCTACAGGACATGGTCCTAACCTTTGGCTTTTTTATTACAAAGTGGCAACTCTTATATTCAAAGGTTTTAAAAACCAGCCTGGAGCCAAAACCGCTTTGGCCATTGGTTTTTGGGTCAGTGGTTTGATTATCTAATTCAAACAAATGGCCCGCTCTAATTTAAAAAAAAAAAAACTAAAAATAATAAAAAATAATTAAAATAAAAATAACCAAAAAACCATTGCTCTGAGTGACTGGTCAACGGTTTAACCGCCCGAATCAATTGATCGCTGACCAAATCAATAATTTTTTGTCAAAAAATGATTTAAAGATAAAATGAAACTGATTGCCTAAACAGTTTCCGAGTCAATGGTCTGACCATCCGAACCAATGACTATGACTGTTTGAAAACACTGCTTATACTTGAATCCACATTTTCCCACTTTTCAACATTAGATTTGGGTTTGGTCAGGTTATGAGAGACATCACCCCAACCCAACCCAACTTCATATCAAATTAAAATTTTAACGGCTCAACCTAATCCAATAATTTAATCCAACTCAACCTTGGGTTGATTCAAAGAATCGATACACGTATCCAGCGTTTCTAATGAATGATACATTGATACTCCTTTTTTTTAAGGTTTTTATATTTACAAATAAATATATCACCATGAATATTAACATTTTGACATATTAAAATGTCTTAATATATAACATATTGATGATCTTTAAGACTGCATTTGGAATTCTTTATTTTAAGGATTTATCTTCCTTTTATATACAAAACACACAGTATTCATAAAGACATTTTAACAATAAAAAGGAAATAAATCTTTAAACTAAGAAATGCCAAATGCAGCCCAAAAGTTGATAGGTATAATACAATACAGGGCAATGCATATGAATTGATACCTTGAACTAACTCAACCCTATTCTGAGCTGGTCCATCCCAAATTGCACTCTTAACTACAATTATTTAATTAATTAGGCCAAAAATTTAACATGGACAAAATATTATCGTCCCATTTTTATGTACTGTTTATTGCCTATAGGGATAATTTGCGCCCAAAACACGATCTCTCTTTCACACACACTGAACTTAAGATCTGTTTGGTTCGCAATAAGAATTGAATTGAAATCCTTTAAAATTGTAATTGGAATGGTCTATTCTCTGTTTGTTTGGTTCAAATGAGAATCGGAATTGAAACCCACTACAATGAGATTCTCACTCAAACTACAGGGCCTCTCAAATGAGAAAATGCTATTCCACCAGAAACAGGAATCAGATTCTTATTCCGCCCAATGAGCCAGTTGAAATCCAATCTCGATTTTGATTTTAGACCATATTCCCACGAACCAAACGGACTCTTGGATCATCGAGGGACAAAAGCTTCACGGCTGCACTGATCCCACTAAAGCTGATTGTCGTTACGTATGAGTAAGTAGAAGACGCGGCACGCCGTTCTTGCTCCCCCATCCCAGCCTCGATCCGTGTCATGTCATCTCGGCGAAAGAAGACAGACAGTGAGACACCCACCAAAATCTCAACGATCTACACTATATATACATGAGTAATGAGACTCGTTCAACCCAGATCAATCTCATCTCCTCTCTACTTCTCTCTCTCTCTCTCTTCTACCCATCTGTCGATCATGGCGCTCATCAGATCTTCCGCTTTGTTTTTGTTGGCCTTGTATGTGTTTCTGTGCTGTTCTTGGAGGGCCGTTCATGGCAGAAGAATAATGGTAGGAGGATGGACTGAAGTCCAAGACGTGGGGTGCAACGACGAGGTTCAAGAAGTGGGGAGGTTTTCGGTGGATGARTTCAACAGAAAGCAGCACCAAGAAGCTGAAGCGCGTGGCCAGGGCAGCAGCAGTAATGGAGGAGATCTGGTGTTCTCGGAGGTTGTAATGGCTAAGCAACAAGTGATCACTGGGGTCAAGTACTACTTGTATATCGAGGCTTTCCGAGATGGCTTTCGCCAGAGGTTTGATGCTATTGTAGCGGTGAAACCATGGTTACAGTCTAAGGAGCTCCTCATCTTCTCTCCTTCCTCTGGTTACAGATCATAGTTTGCTAATTATGACGAGGTGTGTCGTGTATGTGGACTACAGAAACGATCGACCATCATGGCCTTATATTAGTTTAATTAATCTTCTCTTCCTTGGGAGAGGGGAGTTGATGTATGTGATTGTGTATCGATACTCTGTTGATGTTTGTTAAGTGTAAAATGAATAAACCCATAAGCACATGATATGGGGCTCTTGGTTAATTCAGGATTATATGATTTTCAGTTCTACAGAAGAGGAGTGTTTGTAGGATTAATTGCTATTTGGAGTATTCTAAGATGGGCAAGAATCTAATAGGTTGTTCAAGGAATTTTCTGAGTATATAGTGCTTTTAGCCTTATGGCCTTGGTTTGAGTAAATTTGCCAAGCACAAAGGCAGCAAACCAAGAAAAGTGGAAAGCCTCTTAACCTAGGAGGTTTACTATACAATCCTATCAAAATTGAACTCCAAATTCAAAGTTCTCCAATAGATATATTTTTTATATGCATTAACCATGCAAAACAAAGAACAGAATTGGCTATAAATATAATTTTTACATGCATTAATCATGCAAAACAAAGAACAGAATTGGTTGGCTATAGTTACTATCAACTTAGAAGTTTAAGGCTCAATATCTTCAAAAATACATCTCAAAACGAGAAAGGGATAAAACTAAGCCCAAATAAGAAAAGTTGAATTCAAGAAATCAACATATAGTCCACGAACTACAAGTTTGCAGCCTCCAAGGTCCTCCTATAGCAAACATATAAAGAGGTATCTTTTGATCCTCACCTAGTGGCAAGTGTTTCATCCTTAATAAAGTCTTTTTCTTTTCCTGATTTTTTTTGTTATGTAAAATCCTTCGGAATTTATTCCTGTCCCACCATCTCCAGTCTTTTTCTTTTCCCACCACTTCACTAGATTTATCCAACCCAGCCAACCTCTGCAATTTATGGTTACTGTATAACTTCAAGGCATGCAACAACTTATTTGTTTTGCTATTTTGTTTTCAAATATTCAACTCTAAAAATGAGGGTAGTGGAAAGACATACAAATGTTGAGATTAAGGGTGTCAATGGATCGGTTTTGGATTGGACCCCGTCCAGTCCAAAATCAATTTGGACGGATGGGACAAACCAACAAGATGTATTGGAAGGGAAAAGTATAAGGTTAATCATGTTCTTTTATAAGGTTAATTAAAGTCTCAATAGCTGCATTTCTTTTATAAGGTTAATCATGTTCCGAATGACACTTAGGCTATGTTTGGTTTGAAAGAAAAGGTAGAGAAAGGAAGGGAAAAGTATAAAAACCTGTACAAAGTTTGTAAAGGTTTCCTGCCTTTCCCTTCTTTTCCCTACTTTTTCCTTCAAACCAAACATAGCCTTAGTGAATTGAGAACAATGATTTGGCATAAAACATGAATGGATTTGAAATAGACTTTAATACTAAAGTCTATCTTCTAAATCTTTTTTGGTAAAAACAAATTCATTAAACCAGAACAAGCAACAAAATAGGCACTACAAACCCAACAGAATACAAGACCAGAAAACAACAAAAACAAACCAACACAAACTCATATGGACGCCTATAAACTAAGACCCAACTTCAACAAAAGAATACTTACATAGGAAAATCATCAATTTCACCCAATTCCAACACCTTTTAACTATCTATGGAGATTGTTTTAACAACCAGATAGGCGGGCAAGATCATCAAGCATGTTCAGCATAAGATGCTAGCAGGGGAGCAGCAAATATGAAGAATATATTGCATAAGAAAGGAGTCCTTCAGCCATTCATAAGACCTGTGAGAGAGCCCAACTACTAGCTGAAGACAATCATATTCAAAAATGATTTTAAGTGTTTTCACTTTGGAAAGAAGGAGACCCTCCAAAGCAAAGAAGCCCAACTCCCCTTAAAATCTTATTTATGAAATCTGCCTTCCCTACTTCATTCTTTTGCTTCTTCATTGACCAACAATTCTGGCATCTTTTTGACATTAATTTCTTTTGCATTCAATATTCTTTCCTCCTTTTTTCAAATTCCAAAGTTGTAATCAAATTCTCTAGGCAAAGTCTCAACAACCCAAATTGGGTTTTAGGCATCAAATACTTAGCAACATCTACAAGAGTCATTTTAGTTTCCCCATCAATTGGCCAATCCTCTTAAATTCCAATATTTTCATCTTCCCTTTAAGCTAAGCCCACACACATCATGGGTTTTGCAATTCACGCTCAAGCAACTATCTCAAAAACAGAGCAGTTATAAGATCAGTTCTAGTGGGATGGAAATATGGATAAAAGAACCTTACATACCATTTCATGGGAGAAAATATGAAAACCAAGGAGATCTAGAGGCTTAGGCTTTAGAAAATTAAAATAATTCAATCTAGCTTGGTTCTCTAAACAGATTTTAAGACTGCTGATGTTGCGTAATCCGAGCACTCCTAGCAGGCAGTTGACTGGCTCCTCGCTGGCGACGGACGGTACCTGAGAAGAAGACGGTGAATGATTCCCGAGGGACTTGCCCGGTGGGAATACTCCGATGCTTAAGTTAGAACGCTGGAGAGAATAGTAAAGAGTGCAAAGGAGGCTAAGAGTGTAGATATCGCTAAATCACTGAGTTAGCTCGAGAGAAAGTTTGAGTAAGTTCAAGATAAGATATCAGATATTCGAGAGAGCCCTTTCCTTCAACTAGGGGGCTCTTATATATGAGCGTTCTTGTCAAATCGGACGTAACCGCCACTGGACTTCTGTCGCAGCCGTTATCTGCTAGGGCTGCACAAGTAACCGTTACAGTGTACTACCCAGTCGGATGAGTGACACGTCCCGGAAGGAAAAACACACCACCACCTGTCAAGAGATGTGGGCGCAGACTTGTCGGGATGGCAGGGGCTGCACCGTCAGTCAGGAGACATGGCACAGTCTGACGGGTACGGTCTTGTCAGATTGAAGCTTCCAGAAAACATCGCGTCGTTCAGTAGCTAACTGCCCCATAGCGAGCTACATTGTCGCGAGCTACCCTGTCGCGAGCTACCTTGTAGCGAGCTCCTGAGAGTACTATGAGGTGATTCCTCTTGAAGTGGCCCCTTAGGCAGTTTTTCTACCTAAGTGTTGGAGCGAGCTGGAATAGACTTGTCTTGGAGTATTCCCTTTCAGTACATCGGGGGTCCTCGAGCTCACGCTGTAGCGGGCTCCCCCTGTAGCGAGCTATGACGTATAGAGCTGTCTTGCGGGCCCGTTAGTTAATCGCGGTCAGGCTGTGAGGCTGAGCTGTTACTTATGCTGAGTCATGTCCACGTGTCACTGTCTCAAGGGGTCGGATCAAATCACCCTCCATCAATTGCCCCCCACTCCTCGGGCTAAGAGTGTTACCTTAGCGTGAGCAGTTCATGAAGTGTGATGGGTGGATTTGACTGAAGTTCAAATTTGATTGACTGCTCACATTAAATGTGCACACGGAATTCAGGGGATTTCTAACTTTTCGAATGCTGAGAAACGCGCCAAACCGACTCTTAACTCCGGAGGTCGTGCAGCCGTCATTACCTCAATCATGGGAGATGTGCGGCTAGTCACATTTCAGTTTCAGAAGGCATGTGGTCAGCTTRACTGCGGACCATCAGATCTGTCTCAATCCAAGCCGTTGATTTGAGGGCACAATGACTATAAATAGGGGGGCCCCGGGCCTCACTTTCTTTTACGCTAACTTGCCTTGTCTTCAGATTCTGAGGTTGCGTCTCCATCTAGCTGCCCGAGCTCTTTTCCTGTTCACACCGTCTCTTCTTTTCTGGTGAGTCTATCATCTTGTCAATATGTCTGGATATCCATACCATGTCTATTCCCGGGATGGTAACCAGGATGACGCCCCCTTGAGCTCAGGGAGAGCTTGGGGGCAGGCTCCGGAGGGTCGGGAGGCCTCCGGCGAGACGGCTTCCACTTCTCGGGGCAGGAAGCCCGACAGCTTCGGTCCCTCCTCTATGTTGATGGAGAGACTTAGATCTTTAGTTCTTCACTTTAACCTTCCCGGAGACATCATCTATAGTCTCCCTTCTAGTAATTTTCCCTGGGAGCATGGTCCCAACGAGATAGTAATCTTTCAGGAATAGTAGTTGGGACTATTGACCAGCTTCACCCCAACTCCATTCGAAATGTAGTTGGGACTATTTCCCTGTTTTATGAGTACTGTCTTCCCCTCAATCTTGATATTCTCTCCACCATCCTCTGCATCAAGAATGCTTCTCCCGGAGCACCTCCAAAAAGGTGTTCCTACTATTTTTCTCCCCACCGCGGCTTCAAGCTCTTATACGAGCTGCCGAACAGGATCCCAGCCTAGAAGTGGGACTATTTTGTTTTTCGCAACCTCGAGGGGTGGCCCTTCCCAACTCACTAGAGGGCCACCATTCAAGATTCAGGGGTTGAGTTGGACCCCGAAGTTCGGAAAACGCTGCAATCCTAGGCAGCAGTTGGCTTCCATTGGTCAGACTACTTGACCGAGGAGAAGCTCGCGCAGGCCGGTCTGAGCCCAGGTAGGTTGTCTTTTAGGTCGTGTAGTGCCTTGTAAATTTTTTTTTTACTGGACTAATAACTGGTGATTTTTTGGCAGCCATCATGTCTGGTGTTGATGCACGCCGCCTTTTGTCCAACAACCATAAGCGCAAGGCCAAGAGGTCGTGTCCTAACCAAGCCTCCACTTCTGGGGGTGCTGAGTTCGAGTCTGCTGACCCGGCCTTCGCTTCTCCACCACCTGAGGTTCCACCGGTCCCATTCAGGGAGTCGCTACGGAAGGTGGTGCAGAAGGGCTCGAGCTCCCGGCGCAAGGATAGTTTCCTTCATCTGAGCCATCCCGCCCCTTCCCCTTCCCCTTCCCGCAATTCCCTATCGGGAACTGGTAGGGTGTTAATGACTACATCGTGGCTACACGAAAGAGTTGAAGGGTGATCTGCCACGAGGAGGTCGCTAGTTGGGGAGAGATGGACCCCAAGGAGCACGCCAGTTTTGCCTCCGCCCACTGCATGGTGGTAAGTGTCCTTTCTCTTCCACCTTTCTTTTTTACTCCTTTTCTCTTTTCTGAACTTAGTCTCCTGTTGGCAGGTGAACTCCGCCATCCATGCCATGGCCCTCTAAACCAACATCCACTCGGGTGATGCTCGTAATCAGAGGTCAACTGAGTTGAAGCTCTAGGGCGAGCTCGACCGGGCCCGAGGTGAAGTCCTTTAGGCTCAAAA